GAATTTAAGGCATGCAAACTATTGGTTGGTAAAATGTTAATGTTGTAACACAGCAGCTCTCCTGAAAGCGTGAGATGTGGAGATACAGAAAGTGTCTCTGGCTTGGGAAGGCCTTTCAATCTATTCTTTTTGGATGTAAATTATTATAGTACATATTTCCTTTGCATCCCGATTCTCTCCTTTTTATGAAAGCCCGTTTCTGCCACTGAATAAAACAAATAGAAAAGGTAATTGCGACTTTTTATCTCACAATTCACAATTTTTCTCAGATTTTTCTTTTCCTCACACCTGTGAGTTATAAAGTCAGAATTGCATGTTAAAGTTGCAGTTGCAGTTGCATATTATATAATCTCACAATTATGAGAAAAAGTCAATATTGCGAGATAAGAAATGTTTATATATCACAATTCTGACTTGATAACACGCAATTACGAGAAAATAGTTAAGAAATGCGAGTTTATATACTGCACTTCTGACTTTAAAAGTTGCAATTTTTAGTTTATAAAACGGATAGTTCCGGTCCTTGATTCTGATTGGTTGAGCCACGTTCGAAGCTGTTGTAAATTACTCTACAAACATACACCTTTTGTTTACATTTGTGTGTTGCTCGGCAACCACTTTGTTGGAACCACAACCGTTTCTGAGGAACTACATTGTTTGGTGGAAGAATACTGTTTTTATTTATATCATTACAATTTATTTGTTCTGTTTTATTTAGTGAAACCTTACTACGTATATGGAATAACCGTTTTATAAAAGCAGACTCAAGGCAATTTTTGACTCCGCTTTGCATCGTGCCTATCAACACCCCTTAGCTGTTATAAATTCACTGAAAAACCAAGGCTTCTTGGGGCTTATTGCTTTATTATATCTTGGAATTCTGTAAAAAAAAAAAATGTCTGAATTGTGACATTGATTCATGTAAACTCGAAATTACGAGGAAAAAGTCTGAATTATAAGATAAAAGTCACAATTACCTTTTTTACTTTTCATTCAGTGTCAGAAATGGGCTTCCTTGCCTTTTTCATGCTTGTAAAGTGAAACATTTCCCTTTAATTATGTGTCTGCTATTTTGAAGCGGTTTGACGGAACAAGAGCCGTCTGTATTAACGATCCGTGACTTTCTGTTCAGGGAGGCGGCTGCCGGTTCTTAAGGTACAACTGCTCCATTGACGCTCCCAGGAGAGGCTGGGCGCTCATGCACCCCGGACGCCTCACTCACTACCACGAGGGCCTGCCCACTGTAGAGGGGGTCAGATACATCGTTGTCTCATTTGTGGACCCTTGAACTACTTTTTATCGGAAACTTGGATTTGCTTTGAATTCAGAAGACTCTAGAATAATCAAATCATGTTGACACAGTGCCTTAGATTGTGAATATGCCAGTGTGTATATATATTTTCCATGTTTTATGTTACGTAGAGGCATCTTTTGATAACGATCGATGAATGTCGAAAGCAGTTTGACCGATCACTATGCAATATGTGACTTCTATGCAGTGACATTTCACGCGTTTATTTATTGTCATGTATTGAAGGGATTATTCCATACAGATGAAGTGGATTTTGAAAATGTGTCTGTCCTTGCTTTGACATTCAGGTTTATTGAGCTGTTTTCTTTGTTGATGCCCTTCAAGCAATTGGTGCTGCTGTTTGAAAACAGTCTGACAAATGGTTTGTTTTCTTACTGCTTAATGTTGCTTGTTTAGAGATTTATGTTCTTGTCTTGTTATGGATAAGTCATGTCATGAATTTTGGAAGAAAACAATAAAGAAGAGAAAAAATTGTAATGGTTAATGGTATATAATTATGCCGTCAAAAAAATAAAAGTCCAGTCAATTTTTAACCTGTATGATTTTCACAAAAGAAGCAATAGTACTTGTGTTGTGTCTGCAATTTGATTGCTTTTTTCTTTAATTTATCATCTCAAAATATGTTTTTGCTCTGTTAAGAAACTGAATCCCCCCATAATCCATACATTTTATGATTTAGAAAATAAATAAATAAAGTAGCATAACAATGTGTTCGAGCTTCTGGCAAAAAGTCAGGCCTTGGTACCCTGAAGGTTTAATTGGTCAAGTACAATGGGTCTAAATTAGGATTTTTTGTTTTATTTTTAGGCTTTAATTTAAATAAATAAACTCCTGACGTCTCCACATTAATCTTTAATATGTTTCCAAGTGTTATTTTAGAAAATGTAAACCTATATGTACGTAGTCACGTGTAACCTGTGACTTTTCTCTTCACAGTTGGTTAAATTACTAAAAAATATTAATATCAATTTTAAATATAGCTGCAAGCAGCGATTTCTGGGGTTCAAGCAGTTAAGGCATTTAAGCACATAAGGAAAAAGATTTTGTTAACATGGCTGTAACCACTTAAATCAATGACATAATTGCTAAAAATAGCATTTTGGGCAAATGCAGGTAGGTAATTTACCAAAGAAATATGATGATTTTTAACATGTATGACTGTTGTAGCACCACCTATGGTCCGATCACCATGAAACTTTGCATGCTTGTTAAGAGTCATCAGTCACATGTTTTCACCAAGTTTCGTAAAGTTTTGAGTTTTCGCACTTGAGATTTGCACTTTTTATAGGCTTTTGGGTATATGTAGCCACACCCCTTTTCTAAATGACCCCGTTATAGCTAACCAAAGGACAAAATTTAACATGATAATTATTGATCTAGGGAGTGAATATATGAACATGTTCTACAATTTGAGGTCATTTTATATACAAATATTGTGTATTTGAGGCCTTTTTAACTGTTATAGCGCCAACTATGGTCCGATATCCATTAAACTTTGCATGCTTGTTAAGAGTCATCTGACACATGTTTTCACCAAGTTTTATAAAGTTTTGAGTTTTTGTTTAGGTTTTATAGGCTTTTGGGTATATCTGGCCACACCACTTTTCTAAATGACCCCGTTATAAGTAACCAAAAGACAAAATTCAACATTTTTTTGATAATTATTGATCTAGAGAGTCCAGAGAACATTACTGCAGTGGATTGATCGAGATTGAGGACAGCAATGGTTCTTGAGGCAAAGTTGTGCATTATGAGAAGATCTATCAAATGATATGCATATTGTGTGAATATGTGAAACAACACATGATTACAGAGCCAAAAAACTCGTTAGCGCCAACTAGTGGCCAATTTCTTTCAAAATTCTAACAGACCTTTAGGGCCATGAGTCGAACATGCCCACCGAGTTTCGTTCCGATTGACCTCCGTTAACCTTGTCTAATAGGTGCTCAAACTTCCTTGGCCGATGGCGGCCATGTTTTTTGAGATACGCGAATGTCCTCATAGACCCTTATGGAACACTGGACAAAGACATTGCATACCAATTTTCAAGTCGATCGGACCAACGGTTGCAAAGTTATGTTCGTTCTTAGGTTTTTTCCATCTTATAGCGCCACCAAGTGGTAAAGCTGCGACACTGCATACCAATTTTCAAGTTGATCGGACCAACGGTTGCGAGATTATAGTAATGTTTACGTTTTTTTCATCTTATAGCGCCACCAAGTGGCAGAGCTGCGCAATTTTTTTTATTTTACCAAAGATCGAGCTCATACACATGTGTCCCAAGTTTGGTGAAGATATCTCATTTCGTTCACAAGTTATAGCCTTTATGGTAAAATTGGTCCGCGACTTTCGAACGTTTTGGCGCCCCATTGCAATAGTGAGTCGAAATTTCAACTTTTTTTTTATAATTGTTGATATTCACTGTCCAGAGAATATTTCTGCAGTGGTTTGGTTCCGGTCGGGCAAAAAACCTAGGACTAGTTCGCAAAAGTAGAAGAAGAATAATAAAAAAAATTAAAATCCTAACAATTTCAATAGGGTTTCAGCACTGTGTGCTTGAACCGCTAATAAAATACCGAAAACAATGACTTCAAATAATTTTACAAGAGAATTTAGAAATCACTACATCATAATGAAAAATAGTACATCCATTCTTCACACAACAGTAGGAAACAAGTATATTCCATTAGAGATCTGCAATTAAAGATTACATTGAACAGTGTTATTAAAATTATTAATGAACTTTAAGTGAGAGTTACATGATGGCAGATGTAATCTAAATGTAAAAACTAAAAATAGGATAAATGTGCATGTGCACAAATAAATATCTAATAATATGTACAGATATATTTTGCATACATTAACTCTCATTCAAATAGAACCTGGGTAACTAAATAGGTGCCATTACTGTAAAGACACTTAAGAGCCATTTCATTTGAGTTCTGACCTAGCAAGCTGTGAACCTGTAGTGCGACGGTAGCTGATGAACACATCAGGGCCTGCGGGTTGGGAATCGGTTACGCAGGGTTTAGCAGGGCGGCGGGCAGAAGAAAGGATCTTTGCACGATGGATTCCATTCTCTACATGGCAGTCAGACAGCAACTGTTGTTCTGTAATGTGGATGATATTGTTCCGATCGACTCCTGACTGAACCAAGCCGTAGGTGTACTGACGGAATCGTGGGTCTATATCAGCTAGCCAGTCTGCCAGGTTATTGGGGTCACATGTGGAGTAGTTGGCATAGGTTTTCAGTACACGCAGATCTCGAAGAAACCTGTACAGAAGTTATCAGAGAACTGCTATTGGTTATTATGATAATACAATAAAAATGCTTCTATTTTGCTTATTTTAAATTTACATCATAACATTTATTGTAAATGTCTTAAAATTGTTTTATTTTTATTTATTTATCAAAATCTAAACACATAACAGGTTTTCCTAAATCTCAGTTTTCCAATGTGATCTCAGACATTTGGACCCCACTGTAGAGCTGAAAGTAAGACTGAATACATACATTTCTGTAAGAATTCTGTATTTAATAATAATATTGCATAATAAAATAGCACTAGCCTCTTGCGAGTGAGCCCAGAAGTCATTCTCAGATCCTGGATCAGATCCTGTTCTTTGATATTGAGCAGGAGATCTCCATCCACCTGCAGTTCCTGAAAGATATATGGTACAGAAAACCCTGATCAAAACCTGCAGCAAACATCTTCAAGATATCATCATATCCGCCACCTTTACCTAAGGTCAGCTAAACAGGTAATGGGAGCTGTGTACAAACCTGAAACCGTTCACTGAATGCACTGAAACCAATCTGCTGCAGCCAGGTCTGTACCTCTCCGCTCTTCCAGTTGGGTACAGATGAAAGGATACGCCTCGGGACGTCCTCACTCATCATTGTTAAGGCCCTCTTAGCCAGAGAGCAGACGGTGGCGTTACTGGAGTACATGACGATCCTCTTTAGACTCTGAACAGCTCCAATCTCCTGAAATATCTGAGTAGAAAGATCCAGGGGAAAAATGTACAATTTAATGTAGGAATGTGTTATACATTACAGCGCCCTGCATCATACTGACTGAATGAAATACTTGTTTTTTTACTCATTTTGGAGTGCTGATTTCAAACATAGTACCTGTTTTGCTCTAGCACACTTTCTCACACGATATGATGTGCATTTCATACTATTTTTGCTTCCGATAACCATTTGTGAGGTGAAGACGTCTTATATTATCCCATAATCACAAATCAGAAAAAAATCAGTATCAAAAAGAATCAGAAATCATCATAAAAAAACGTCACAAAGACATGATTCCTATCTTCATCTGAGCCAGGTTACAACTATTTGATCAATTCTCAGTCGATTTTCACATTTATGAATGATTCTGAAGACATTATTTCATGCATAATCCTGATTTCCACTCCTTTGCAGATTGTGAGCTAAATTATACATTTTGAATACTTATTTCTTCTGATGATATTTGCCTGTTTTTATTATATTGATAA